ATCTACAGGTGAGTCTACAAAGGTTCATCTACAGGTGAGTCTACAAAGGTCCATCTACAGGTGAGTCTACAAAGGTCCATCGACAGGTGAGTCTACAAAGGTCCATCTACAGGTGAGTCTACAAAGGTCCATCTACAGGTGAGTCTACAAAGGTCCATCTACAGGTGAGTCTACAAAGGTCCATCTACAGGTGAGTCTACAAAGGTCCATCGACAGGTGAGTCTACGAAGGTCCTACAGAGTCTGTCCACACTCAGACTCCTTGGATGCGGTCGATAACTGCACGTCCTTTTCCCTGACTTCAGGGACAGGTCTGGTGGATCCTTCTCGGCCCACCATATCCCATAATGCTGTGGAGGGGTTGACCAGAGATTTGTTTCTGCCCATAAATGTGGATGAAGTGAGAGAAAAGAGAAGAGTCTTAAATATAAAAATGAAAAGTTTCAAGCGGTTGTGTTGTTAATGCTTTATTATTTGTATTTTTTTAATATTATTCTTGTCAGAAAAAAGCGTGTATGTAAGGTGGGTCCATCAGTTCTACAAATACTGCCTTTAAGCTAATATTTGTTTGTTTGTTTGTTGAGTTTGGACACAGCCAGAGACGTCTACAGGTAAGTCTATGAAGGTCCTACAAACAGATGAATGGAGGATCTACAGACCTACCTTGAGATTTTTCAACACAGACCCACACAGGTGCCCTCAGAGGAGCCTGCAGGTGAACCTGTGGAGGACTACAGAGGAACCTACAGATGGACTTGTGGAGGTAGGTGTCCAGATGTTTATGGGTTAGTTACAGGAGACCATGGAGTTGTCTTTAGAGGTCTTTACGGGGGATTCTACAGATGGACTAAAGGTACTAGTCCATAGGTGGAGCGTACAGAAACTTAAACTAAATGAAACTCTGAAGAACCCTACAGAGATGTCTAAAGAGGCACCTCCAACAAGATGGAGCCTCCTCAAATGTCCACCAACTTACAGTTAATAACCAGGAGCCTGACGGTGGACTATGGTCCTTATCTCCTGAGTTGATCAATCCATATCATTTTCACACAAAGACAGGTGAGCTCTGTACCTGTGACTGGGAAACTTCTCCTTCACTGATTGGATGATGAGCTGCTCCACCTTCTGGTCAGTTTGAGTCACCAAATCAACAGCTGAACTCTTCATCATCACCTTCCTGTCATCACTCAGAGCCTCCCGCACCACCTGATAGACACAGGAACCAACACAGTGGACCGGTTCAGGACCCAGAACAGAGATCACTGAGAAGGACAGAGTGGATCACCTGGACAATGGATCAGGCAGTAGGACTTCTCACCTCTCCAGCTTTTCTTGCAACAGCAACAGCGTGGTCCATGATGCTCTGGAGGTTAGCCATGTTCGAAAAGCTCCTGGTAGAGACAGGCACAGGTCAGACTGGACCACTGTGAGTAAGGGTACGGTACGGTACGGTACGGTACGGTACGGTACGGTACGGTACGTTAGGGTTAGGTTAGGTTAGGCTTAGGTTAGGTTAGGTTAGGCTTTGGTTAGGTTAGGTTAGGTTAATGTTAGGTTAGGTTAGGTTAGGTTAATGTTAGGTTAGGTTAGGTTAATGTTAGGTTAATGTTAGGTTAGGTTAGGTTAATGTTAGGTTAATGTTAGGTTAGGTTAGGTTAATGTTAGGTTAAGTTAGGTTAGGTTAATGTTAGGTTAGGTTAGGTTAGGTTAATGTTAGGTTAATGTTAGGTTAGGTTAATGTTAGGTTAGGTTAGGTTAATGTTAGGTTAGGTTAGGTTAGGTTAGGTTAATGTTAGGTTAGGTTAGGTTAATGTTAGGTTAGGTTAGGTTAGGTTAGGTTAATGTTAGGTTAGGTTAGGTTAGATTAGGTTAGAGCCTCTGGTAGGCTGGCTGCAAGTCGAGATCAAGTCCATGTAAATAAACTGGACTAAAAACTAAAAAACAAAGTACAGATTGTTTCCTGCTGGTGATTTCTGGTGGATCGTGTCATTTTTTTTACCTTGTTGCTGTTTGATCAGATATTCAGTTCTTTATTAATTAGTTTCATAATAACTGTATATGAGGGGAGGGGCTAACAGCACCAAATCCTGAGTGACTTTAGGACTAAAGAACCAGCCTGCAAACCAAAGGTTAAGGATTCACTGTAAAATACCAAAGAACGAGCAACTTCAGCCAATATTTGTACATATGTGGGTGTGAGGCTCTCTGTGTGAGCACTTAGCATCTCTGAGGACCAACCAACCAATCAGGTGAAGCTCTGCTTCAGGCTTTTTCCTCCAACAAATGATGTAATTAATGACAGAAAACTGGCTCCCAGAACAAATCATACAACTGATAAACAACAGAATAAGTTAAAAACAGAGTAAGTACTAAATAAGTTGCAGTTTGTGTCTTTTGCAGATTGAAGCAACACATCCAGATGTTTAAAATGTTTTGACAGCTGTTTTTTACTTTATTACTTTATCATTTTCAGCATCAAACTTTAGCTTCTAGCTTCATCTGAGCCACACTCAGCCGCCTCCTTAAAACGGAACTTTTTTGAATGGAGTCTGGTGGGAACTCACGAACTTTCAAACGGAACAAGGTCAACAACAAACACACAGGAAGTAAACAAATAACAAACAAATAAATAAACAAACGAGCTCACCTGCTGTGACGAATTGCCCGCTTCGAGGTTCGCTGTTTAACTAAACAGAGAACTGCTTCCGCTTCCGCCCGCTGCCGGTTTGACTTCCGGGTGAATACCTGGTTGATTGCATCAATACAAGGCCTATTTGGCTGTGTCCAAAACGACAGGCCGGGTGTCGTTTTGGACACAGCCTATATATATCTATGGTTGATTGTAGTAATGATGACGCAACTGTGTGAATCAGTGACGTATATCACGTGATTGATTCACCTCATTGATTCTCTTTGTATGAGGATATCCACATCC